CATTATGAAAATTGTCCCCCGTGTGGTAAAGGCGGCATAACAACACTCATATTCAACATGACCAAGGAATTTCCATTCCGCACCTAACGCACTACTGGCTTGCTGACTGGTAGGTTTGATATCTGGAGACGGACAACCCCCCAGAATCGTTCCGATATACTGTGAGGTCTGAGGTCGTATTGATCTGTAAACGCGCCTGTTATCCATTGATGCTGATAGTGATGTGCTTTCTTCTATCGCTGACAATGTCAGTAAAACTGGCATTCACTCTCTTCACAAATTGACCGCAGGTCCTCTTTCGAGCATCAAGAACCAGCAAGAAAAGGGGCTTGGATCCGTAATGAGTTTTTTGGTGCCCACATCTACGGCATTTCTCGCAGAGATGCTTGTTTAATAGCCAACATCTAAGGAAATGCCAGTCTCCGCATTGCCAATATACGGATGGTGACTTACCTTGAGGGAGCTTCTTGTGATTAGTGGCTAGAAAGATGTTACTGAAAAGCTGCTGAACTGCGAAATCATCGGAATGCGTCCATGTATCCTCGACCATACCTGTATAGTGTCCTAACGTTTCTCTAAGCTACAGGCATAATAGTTTGCAGTGTGATTTCCAACTCGCGTTCCAACAGCCCGAGTATTCTGGTCCTGGTCTCGGCTTCATGGTTGTGCATGTGCAATAAGACTATCGCTGTCTCTTTTGCACAGCTTCAGGTATTTGCATCGACTGTTGAAAAACCATCTGGCCGCCGAACATCTCTGTGAAACGGGAAACTGTTTCACCAAAGCTGATAGATTGAGCATCTTCTGGCAATACGAAGTTTATGAATCTGTTGTGCTCCACAATCCCGAGCTTACGTAACAGTAGCCGTACGTTTGACTAATCATCAAGATTTACCAGCTCTGTCCCGAAAGCATATTCATACCGTTTGAATGACGCTTCGAAAATCAGCCCTGAAGCGAGATCAAAAACGAATACATTGACACGACTGATTATTGCATCAACTGAAGGCTTCTCAACATTGAGGAGGCTTGTAGTTTGGAGTGATAGCGTCCGAGTGAGGGTCTTGATCATTCGCAGCTATGCGGCTTTGAAATGCTGCTGCCGTTGTAAGAAAATAGTTAACAGGTCGTTTCCTGAGATTGACATTTTGATTAAATTTGCTACTAGCGCCAAAATCTGTTGTTTGGTTGACAGTACGGATAACCGATACAGCTACTCGGGTCATTGTAAGCCGCTTCCCAAATCGGAAGGCAAAGGTTCTTAACAAAACCCGTATGGAGCACCCAGAAGATAGTAGATACAGCCAAAATATGGAGTCAAAATAATGTTCATGACAGAATGACTTAATTGAAAGTTCCTGCATGCTAGCAATTACTAGATCCATGAAAACTTGCTTTTTGGCTGCTCAGGTAGCGCGCTTACTGGAGAGCTTCAAAGTAGGTCGAATAAAGTGCAAGTGCCGGATTCCGGCCACCGACAACGGGTATTTACGAGGATCGTTTAAGACATCAGCAGTACGCCGGCACAACTTGCCTAAGTTTCACTGAAGCGACTACCGACATTCGCGCTATGGCTGTGTATACTGCGAGAATGCCCGCACTTGCGGCATCGAACCCGTGACCTTTAGGTTATGAAGCATGCGCTAATCCTTACGTCAACCGATCATCATCGGCAATGTGAACTAATGCTTCGTTGCAGCACAACCACAAGACGGTACGGAACAGAAAATAATAAGAAAGGGGACATAGCTTAAGAATGAATGCCATCAGAAAACATTCAGGGCTTTGTCAACAACGTCAAAAACAGCTGGTTATCATGCAACTATGAGGCAACATCGACGAGGAAGCTTTCTTGTGGTTTTCACTGCCCCGCGCCATAGTCAGCCATTACTCCGTAAATAATTCCGGCTAAAGGTTGGAGTATCATCAGCGTGTGTGCGGCAACAAATCTGAAAAGGTGTAGTCAAAAATCGTCTTTGGGAAGATGATTTTTCTGCGTCAATTGAGATGGTTCAGTTTCGTCCTACGCATGCTAGGCGACTGATAGTTACGTCGTACCTCGAAGTGACCAGTGGATGACGTGGTACAAAGGCACGGAGAAATTGGCCGAAAGGCTTGTTCAAACTGGTGCGTGGATGGAGGCTTGGGAGTGATGCACAACGGTGGTTGAAGACCATCGGGCATGACGCGCTCACGAAATCAGCGGCATCCCTGCATTCTGTTTCTTGACTTGACTGCTTTAGCGCAATTTCTACTTAATAATATTTTTGTATCCCGCGGTCTACATTACGTTCTTACCAGGGACTGATCCATGTGTGTGGCCAATACGTGTGCGCACGTACAAAGTGTCACATGACGCACGCGACGCAACCTCAAGCGTGACCGAGGCAAACATTTAGGGGAAAGGTACAACGACCAGATTAAAGGTATCGATGCAGTGGGCAGTCCAGTGGCTCTCACTGACTACTGTCAGCAAGTATATAAGCAGTTGTACCCGTTTAATTTCAAATTCTGAAGGTCTCTTTCCACCTAATACATGCCGATCTACCAAAAGGATTGCGCCTTTTTGATTTTCGGGTTTTCGAGCATCCGCCGTGTCTTGGATTGCGACACGCAATCTCAATTGTGGCCCCGGTTGACTTCGAAACCAACCTCTGTTAATAGGGTCACTGGGACCAGCACCGAAGTGAAGGGTTTCGGTGTGGCTCTCGTCCAACTCTGCACTCCACGACCGACGGTTTCGTCCTGGTTTGGACTCATCAGGTAGAGATAGCCTATCTGGGAGTGGAACTCGGCGCATACTGCTTGGCGCTTATCGCCACGATTATGGTCCTCCTTTACGCTTCAAAATATGGAGTTCAATTTTTTCATGCTGCATCTTACCATGATTCCGTCGTATTGTACTTGAAACGCTTACTTGTGGACACAATGGGAAGTATCAGTATGATGCAAAATTTAGGGCAATAATCTCTATCCGGAGTCGTCTGCTTAAGTTGGATTAGGTCGCTCACCGAAAACGCAGTGATTTGATAGAGAACAGTTGGTCGGACGATAGCATAGTTGGGTAAAGTCGCGAAACCGAACTGTGCGCGCTGAAACGTATTATTAGACTGGAAAATGGCGATGAAATAAATGACAGGCTGAGGGCTCTGCTTAGTATACGGTGATCAAAGCATCGGTTGTGCTTCGCATTTAATCGATGCAAAGTTCAAGTTAAAGTGGGACAGAAACAATAGGAGAATCACATGGATTTTCCATTGTGAAAGCGTTGTCGAAAGGTGGAAGGCATCGGCAAATCGATTAGTCTTCTGAGAGTGAACGATCGGCACGTATCAACCGCGCTCAACCAATCAATGCTTATGTGTCCTGCACCAGGACTCACGGGGCCGGTCACGTGAAACAGGAAGAAAAGAATGGAAGAAAAGAAAAATAAACTGAAATAAACGACAGACAACGTAAAAAAACACTGAAATCTACATTAAAAAGAGAAATGGAAGTGTGATTAAGGCTGTGATGTGAAGGGGAAAAAAACAAATAAATATAAATAAATCGTCAGTTGTACGCCGTAAAGGCGCTTTGCTGCCGCGCGACCACCAGTCGCGCATGGACTGAGTATACCGCAAGGACGCCTGACCCTACACTGATTCAAACCGGTGACCTTAGGACTGCAAGCCGGGCGTGCAATCAACTAAGCCACCGACCGAGGGGAAGAGTTTTAACTGCAAACTGAGGGCATCAAGTCGGTGTTCAAATGTCTTAACAGTCGGTGCTAAGACTACATCCTCTGGCAGTGTTCCAAGTCAATCACCCTACGTGATAACCGAACATCCGCCCCTGTCCGATTGGATCGAGGTTTATGCAACATTTTTGAATGTTCAGGAAGAGCCGGCAATCGAGCCGTAATTAGTAAAGCCTGTCCTGAACTAACATGGACGGTTCAAGTTTTCTTTTGTTTATCGTAGGAACACGAAGTTGGTCAGATGCCAAAGTACAGAGATTAATCAGAAATACTGACACGTATTACCAACGCAGCGAAAGGAAAGGAAATTGGTGGAATGGAGAAAAGGTAGGCAACTTTGTTGCATCAGGTCATTAATGAGATGAAACAAACAGCGCACAGCGCTCTCGGCAAGACAAATAAATGGTTATACGTCAGAATGCATGGACCCGACCTAGGTCCAGGCGAGAGCGTCAAGCAGAACTCACACATACGCTTGAGTTTAGAGTAAGCGAAGAGGACGCGATTGTGAATATTCAACAGGTTGGTCCTCATGGATTATAAGGGAGCATCATCTAGAAAAGTATCAAAAGTACGCCAGCAAAGCTACCAGCAAATGACGGTGCAACTAGTCAAAATATACATAGGATGACATTCCACAAAATTAATGCTTACTTAACCTTTTCCCGGAAATTTAATGCCATTACCACTGTGATTCTCAGGAATATCTTAAGGGGCTGGGGAATCAATAAAAGTGGGAAAACGCATAACACGAGTGACCCCTTTTCGTAAGCTGGGGAGACCGCTGGAGAGCACTAAGCGGCCATCATTTGCGCCCCTGACCACCCCACTAAGACACATTTAGGACGAATTGCGGTCAGCAGGCAATTTTTCAGGATGGCATGAAATTTTGCGGTGTATGTTTTCTTCCAGATGGAACATACCGTCAAAACTTAGGGAAAAGCAAAAGGCGCAACACTGCACAAAAAATTGGAATTAACCTAATCGCGGCCAAAAGGTGTCCCAATGGGACGGCCAGGGACACCAATCACCCAGCGGCAGCCAATCTGTTACCCACGTTAAGTAGGCGTACGGTTTTAATAAAAAGGTACGACTAACAGTTAATGAGGTCGTGTGAACGACGGGTTATTATGTCATATGGTGGGATTATGCGTAACTTTTTGCCAGTGACCGTACGCAGACCCAAATGGCAGGGATGAGTCTATGCGCCGACAAGGAAGTTATGATGAAGTAAAGCATCAGATACGAGAACGCCACTCACTCGGTCCAGATCGATTATAGGAGATAAAGTAGTTAATGACATTTTTTGCGTTTCTGAAAACGTTTACAGATAACTGGCATAGAGCAACCTGTCACAAATATCAAGCATCTGACATCTTCAGTCTTGCTATCCAAAGTTCAAGGACATACAACCGATGACCTATAAAGTGACGCAAGATAACAACAAAGTACTCCAGTTAGTCAGTGCACATCCGAGCGGAAGTGTCATTCAAAATGGTTCAGTACCAATTAATTATCTAACAAATAAATACAAAATTCAAAGCCTGGTGATGTTTAAAAGAAACGTGATTGTTTTGGTCTTGGACAAATATTCTACCGCTCGTAGCAAACAAATTAAGCAAAAACATGCTTATAAAGTGCGGAAATCGTGTTGTGCTGGTTTGCTGTTCTATAAAAACTATCAACACGTGTCAGGAATTTTGCCTTCACGAACGGCTTTTCGGTTAACATTTAAGCGACGGGCATAACCCAATCATAGTCTAGTGGTGACGTGCAGAATTGTCGGCCACGCAGTCGCGGTTTGAATCCTGGTTGCTTCGGCTTATGTATTCCATCCGGCGGTAAATGTATTAAATTTGAACTATGCAGTAAATAGTGCATTGTCCATTGCGCAATTATGTCATACAAAATTAAAACCTATAAAATGGTTATAGGCTTATACATCTACAATGAGGCCTCTGCATTTCCGGCGTCAATCCTTTACGGCATTCTAGTATAGGATGGAACCTGTGCAAGCTCAAGTTCAGTTGGGACCGGAATCTAAATAGAATCCCGTGAATGATCCTACTTTTGCGTATCATTGGATAGGGAATCAATAGATCTGCTTGAAATGTTGAAAAGCTTAAAACAGAGACCGCATCACACCCTGTCTAACCAATTGCTGACTACATTTTCCTGCCCAGCAGTTCGTGCCAGGCAGGTTTATTTGTAGTAAGAGGGTGATGGGCAAGCCAAGAAAACAAGAGGAGGAATGTCAGCTAAATAACCATAATACCAATGCGTGAGAAGAAAGTTATAATAACAAACACAAAATTAAAGATACGAGTCGGGTAGGATGATAGGAATTTTTGGTACTGCCCCCTAAGTGCATCTAACGGAAGCTCACAACCCTAAACCGTAGACTCCGTAACGACATACTACGGAATTAAGAGCTCGATGCGTGGGAAACAGCAAAGGATGCACGGAAGAGAGATTGAAAAATGCAGGAGAGAACTGGGGAGGTTAACGATGACAAGATGCCAAGCCGTTCGACCTCTCACCGGTTAGCGTGTCACCGTTTCTCCCGTGGACGGATACACATGGAAAATGTAATCGGCTAGGATGAGAGTTTGGTCGGGTAGGTAAACTGTTTATGGCGTCATGTTTTAGACTGCTGAGAACCTGTATTTTTAAAACAAGTATAGAACATGTGTTTATTCGTTCCTTAGTTGTTGCCTAGGGTTGGACGATGTTTATAGTGCGCGCTAAACTGCGGAGGCTTATTTGCTCAACTATCGCCATTTTGGATGACAATGCTACTTCCAGCTTAGGTTTCAAATTGTGTATCGTAACGGTGCACAAATGCAGGAGGACGCCTGGATAGTTCAGCTATCTACCGCGACGCGTATTTTTAAGTATAAGGTAGAGACTGCAACGTACAATGAACGGAAGCATGGCCAGGAATTACCCATAAGTTGTACCTACCGGGATGTGTAATTCCGCTGCAGTCATAGCGATAGTGATAGGGTGAACGTGAGCAGTAAAAGGTAATTGGCGTGTGCTAGCTTAGTAACGCATGTAATCTGTATACCGTATTTACGGTTGCAAGGCCAGTATTTCATTCTCTCTGGAGGTTTGCGGCTACGTGCTGGGTGTGTCATATGCAGCACTTGCATGCTTACTAGGTAGAGAGCCTTAACGGTATGCGAAGGGTAGACCTTTGAAGGATAAACAGGCTTGGCCAGTGTGCGGCTTGCTGCCAAGCTTCAAAAGCAACCATGAATTGGGCGATTATAGGAGGATTTCGGTGCGCGCTTTACTCCCCAACGACCGTTCGTGATGCAGGCTCGTCGGAATGTGGGCATTGCGGATGAAAATTTTGCGGTGGTGCATCTGCTGCAGTTAAACGCCAAGTGACGTCTAGTAAAGGAGGGGAACGAACTTCCTTACGTTTTCTCGTGCTATCGCGCATTCAGACAGTTGCTGGCCGATACCGCGAGGTCAGCGTAGCTGTGTGTTTTGGCGTATGTTTATGGATATGAATGGTGTCGCCATGTCATTCTTTAATGCGTTGCTACCGGAGGCAAGGGCAGGCGCTTACCACTTGTCGGTGGCGACAAAGGGGGAGCTAATTCCTGAAACGTCAAACGTGCAAACCGTGGTGACAAACAAATTCGCGGCGCAACTGTGGGTTTTTCTCTCGGTTTACCGGTCTACTGCTATGGCCTTTAGCCGCTTGCATGTGTCGAGGGCTAGGAGCCGCAGATGCACGCAGTTGCATGCGGAGTCTCCTGTCATTAAACACCAGTTGAGGCTATTGGTGTGAAATTTGATCTACATGCGGAAACAGCAGCTGGTTTGCATGCCGCTGTCGGATAGTAATAAAAGGAATGAGGTACGTTGCCGTTATTTGGAACGGACATGGCATCCTTGTGTACCCTCCTAGGCAGCGCAGCAGTTGGAGAATTCATCCACGTTAGGTTGCTTCACCAATAACATAGTGCAGAACGAAAACTAATCGCGTAAACCAGCGATCGTCCCCTAAGACTTTGTTCACCCTGATAGGGGATCTTGTTAACGCTGTTGCGGATGCAAGGCAGCAGAAGCTGGGCAAATACCAGATGAGAGGTTATAATGCGCTGAAGGGCGTGGCGATGTACGACGCTACGCTTGCTCGTCTGCCGCAGTATGCCAGGGCGCAATATATGCGTCTTTGTAAATCCGTTCACATAACCTCAGTTACAATGAAAGAAAAGGAGTGGAAGGAGTGTGATGTGCACTGCACAGTTAAGCGAGATTTCATTGTGTATGGGGCCGGTGTCAATGTGAGTTCATCCGTCACTGGAGCATGCCTTGAGTGCATTTATGGTATGTGACATTACTTGGGGGAGAAGGAGAATATACGCCGCTGTCTGACTGCAAACGGTGCATACCTGCTGACAGCGGATCTTCTGTAGAGCTTGACGACATGAATGTAGCTGAATTTCACAAACAAAAATAATGCGGTTCAGCAAGCTGCGATGGATAGGGCAACCATGTTGCGCCAGTGGGAAGTGGCGATGGTGGCGTTGGGTGTTCCTGTTTATATCCTGTCGGGACAGAGGTACCAGCGAATGCTTCCGTCCATGCGAATGTTCGGTGAGTTTTGTCGCAGGAGCCGAATATTTATCCGTGCTGCAGTAATCTGCCTGGTGGGGAACCCGGTTAGTTGGACAGATCACATGAGTTACAGAGGCTGCAGGGCTAAACACCTGTGATTGGCGATCAGCAAGGCAGCAGCCGTCAGCATCCTCACAGGCGATCAATGCTCAGTCCATAAGGTGATCTAAAAGGAAGGCACCTCTGCTTCGAGTAACCTAGGTTCCAAGTGATGAATCCATAGCAGGCAACCTTGGTTTGTCATTTTAAGGCCAACACCTCAGCTGCTTGTCCCAATCGTGAGAATAGGCAGCGTAAACAAAAAGGATGGCGCCAAAGTGTTCGCAACGACGTATACCAAATATTTGGACTAGAGGAGGAGCTTTCGGAGAAGGAAGAAACGATCACATGGGTTATGTGCGACATCTGCTGTGCTTAGTTACATGCAACTTGCAGCCGTTTTTGCGGAGAGATAGGTATTGTATGTGTGCTATGCGTGACTGCTTATGTTGGTTCCGTTCGATGCGCTTTTTGTGTAAAAGACCGCAGATAATGTGTTCACAGTTCCGTACGTTACATGTCCGAATGTTGCTGAATGCTTTACGGCGAGTGATAACCATTCAACACACAAACAGGTAAATCGCAACTGGTTGTCCTGGCAAACATGCGATCCCTGTGGAAAATTCATTCAAGTCATCCTCCTTCCTGCGCTTTCAGGATATGGTAGGCGTACATTCCGTGGTGCAGCCTTACTGTAACTGTATGTGTGAACATGCACCGAATAGGTATACACCAGGTTTCGCGTTTGGAGACGCGGTGTACTAGTAGGTTCTTGTACGTTTAAGCACCGATGTGATTTGACAATTTGTCGACCTAGCGTTTCAATTCAAAGCACCATTGCAGTTGTTACCATCTGCGAGCGTGTTACAGTGCGCATGAGTTATTGCGACATAGTTCCCCTTATTAATGATTATGCACGTCCAATGCCTTGAGGTAGACGGTAACCCAAGTAATCTATTTACTCGTTTACCCTGTAACGTGCGACAGGTAGCATGGGTGCAGTAAAATGTGGGGGGGAATTCACGCATTGCTGAAGTCGGAAAAGCAAGTCCAACCTGCAAAATGCACAGCGCCTGCAAGTGCAAATGAGACTGAAATGATAGGATTATTCCGTGAGCGATCTCTCTTCAGCTGGTGCTTCAACCAGCAGTTGGCGGACGTTAAGATACAAATAGACCTAAAACAAAAACTGCCCCATCACCTGTCCCACCAATTAATGTCCACGTATCCTGCCCTAGCAGTTATTGTTCGGCAGGTTACTTGGTGAGAAAAAGAGAAAAGTAAACGCAGGAGGCAAGGATGGGAACGGGGTAACAGCTGAACAAGTAGACCACCCAGCTATTTGTGTCCTTAAAATAGAAATAAAACCTGAAGTTTGGTCATTTATGGAAGATGAACGTTTGGGGTTGCCACCCGATGGCATCCAGTTGAAGAGCAAAACCCTTAACCGTAGTTTCCCTGACCCTACGACTTGGAGGCAAATTCTAACGCACCATAACTCTGCTCGACAGACCAGTTACCTTCCTGGCTGGCTAGCCGAACAACCTCTCCTTGGTGCCAGCTCGGTTGTTTGGGTGTAACCCGTTCCAGCAAACACTTCGGCTACGGTGTCCAAGGACGTGGTGGGTTTTCGCCTGGCAAGCGTTCTCCCTATAAAAAGCCACAAAAATCCGTCATAATAGAAAGCCGTTT